ATTATGGTTTGAAGAAACTTTCAACTTATTTATTTTTAATATGTTTAATTTTATCTCAAATATGATACTTATTTTTACTGATTTTGTCTTTAGATTTATCGACTCACTTACTTTCTTAGGTTAGTGATAGTTGTAATAAAAGAGAAGATATATATTTATTAATTGTTTGGGTAAGTACTGTGTGGTATTTATGGTTACATAGAAATATAATTGTATTTTTCAATGGTGTTTTGGATGAGAGAAAAGTCCTAGAGTTTATTATTTTGAGGTCTTGAAAATGACTATCACTTGTTAGTAAATAAGAAGCTATTTTGTTAGCTGATTGGTATCTGAACTTACGAAATTGCATCCGTCTTAACTTTGCATAAATATATTTTTATTTTTTATTTTTCTAAACAAGTATTAATTTTTTCTCTGTATATATAAATTTTAAATTCTTCTTAAACTCTCTCTAATAATATATATTTTGTATATATATATAAAACTTATGTAGTAACAACGAGTGCCAATATCACCTTATCATTATTAGGACCTAATCAACACAATGGAAGTTATGATGAGAATTTAAGATTATAAGATTTTTTTTCTTATTGTTTGATTTTTTTATCATAATTAAATTGAGATATTACAATTTTTTTTATATTTATTATTTCTTATTTTATTATTACTTCTAACTTTTATTTATTTAAATTTATTTTATTTACAATTATTATAAAAAGTTATCATAAAATTATGATTATTAAGTTAATCTCATCAACATTTATTACAATATTTTAAAAAAGTTGACAATTTTCGCCTGAAAGTGCCAGCAATGTTTAGCCATGAATCATTAAGGATGGCCAAATTGCATGTGAATCCAAGCGATGACAATGTTTCATTTTTGCCATTGGAAATTTTTTTTTCTAATGCATTGAATTTTAACAGTATTAGAGTTGTAGATTAGTCGTCACAAATTAGTTATTTTTAATTGCTTTTGACTGTCGAAAATAACAATTTTTCTAGTAGTATTGTTTTGATGGGTTATGAAACTTTTAAATAAATCTCAGTATTCATATTAACCAAAAAATAAAACAAAAGAAAAGGTATTCTCAACACTTGGGTGAAACTGTAAAAGTCCTTTAAATTTTTTAGATGAATAGACAAAATCTTATGAATAAAGAAATAAGCATAAAAGAAGAGAGGGATGCTATCTTATTATCTAATCAAGTTTCTATAAATATAGAAAAGAAAAAATATAAATAAATTAATTCAAGTAATTGTTCATTTTGATTTTACATAAAAGTTAGGATGAGTGAATGTTATTTTCATTTTAAGGTTAAAATAAACTATTAAACTTATAGTTAGGAGATCGTTATATTCGTACTTAAATTGTATAATTGTCATGAATAAAAAGTCATTTAGATAAGCAAATTCTATTGACTAAACATAAAGTTTATAAATGTCTGGAAAAATTTCCCCATAATTTTTTTTATTAAAGCAAGACTTAGCCATAATTCTTTAGATTTTTCTGGGTACTATTATTTTATTAAAATTAGAATTTCACTTCAATAATTAACAATAATTTTAAAATTATCTTAAAAATTATCCCCCCCAGTCTTTTTTTTTTAATAGAACCGTTAATTTTCTAGGTTTTAGCTTAATTAAGTTATAATGATCTCTTCAGAAGGAACCAAACCTTTGACATGTGAAGATTTCCAGCTTTTGCGGCTAGTGGGTGTCCTAGCGTGTTTATAAAATTTCTCCTTTCTTTTTCTTTTAGATACTTTTTATAGGTCAAGAATCAAAACTAATTATTAATGACATGAAGAAAGGTGGAAGCTTTAGTTTTTGGTTGTTTCTTTCAAGGTATGAAATAAGGAACTTAATTAATTATTTATTTTTGGGGGAGGGAATGATTAGATAAAATGAATAATAAAGGATGATTTATGAGCCAATAGTATTGATATTCTTTTGCATATAGAAAATTAAGAAGAAAGTAGAAACATGTCCATGCATTAACTATTGTTATTATTACAGGTATTTCCTTAATACATGATTATGATATTCAAAATTTTGTAGCGTTTGGGCCAAGAGAATCATTGATGTCATGTTTCATAAATAGCTTTTCTGGTCTTGTGGGGCCAAGCATCCACAAAGAATCCCCAAAAAAGGGGCAATACATCATTAACAAGAAAATTAACTTCCATAAAGTCAATAATAAAAAAAATTAAGTAAATTTCTAAATTAAACTCTTCATTTCTTGAAATTTTTTAATTTACCCAAAAGAATATGTATTTTAATTCTCCTTATCTTATCGTTCTTTATTATTTTTGTTTGAAAAAGCAAAATAAATTTCATTTTATAAAATTATAAGTGGATGGCCACACAATCAAGCATGACAAAAGAAATAAATAAACTTCAATTGACGAAGTAAATCTATAATTTTGTTTACTGAAAAAGGTAAATCCAACGGCCATGTGGCCCTAATGTCACAAGGCAATATAGCAAGCACATCATGCAGAGGAACAGTTTTATTTTTACCTTTCACTTCCGCCACCACCAGGATAAGAATGAAAAGCAATTATAGTACGTATACATAGATTTTTGGCAAAAATAATGAATCAAATAGTTCCAAGTCACATGCTTATATAGAAATGCTTATTAAATACATAAATGTATATTAATCACTTGTGAAGGTGAAGAAAATTTCCCATTTATGGAACCATCGCATAAATAATTTGGCCAAGGGAAGGAATTGTTGTGTCGGTGAATATTTGATAAAATAAATAAATACTTACAATAAATAAGATAAATACTTTTCAATAAATTTAAATTTAATTGAGTAAATACTTATAAAATTTAGTAAGTAAGAATATTATGATCTTTATTCATTTTACTTTTGCTTTTGCTTCTTTCTTAGTATTTGTTATATCCAACACTCGTTTGCTTACAATAATACATATAAACACGCATACGTACTATAAGCTTACATATAATTAAAATTAAAATCTTAAATAAATGATTTTATTGCAAATATTTTGTATATTTTATTTAATTTCATATGAATGATTTTATTTGTAATTCTGTATTTTATTTTATTTTTTAAAATTTATTTTGTAATGGCATTTATTTCTTTTTTTAGTTAAAAAAAAAACATAAATTACGAGCACAGTATGAATATGAATATTTATGTACTCAATGGATATGAAATGATAGAAACAAGTACAGGTAATTTTTGAAAATACAAGTACGAGAACAAGCACTTCGGTATTCTGTAGAGACTTTATCCATTAATTGCTATGTCTACTTGTACATAATCTACACTTGCAAGATTTTGAAGGGCACTCATTTAGTCGTTAGCTTAAAAAAAGTTTTAGTTTCCAAAAAACTCATGAATTTCTCATTTTATTTTCATTTTAAGATTTTTTCAAACAAATCTTCAAAATTATTATTTTTCATACAGTTCTTTTATTAATAATTCATTACTTTACTATTTACCTATATATTATTTAGTTTAACTCATAATATGATACAGAGTTTATGTAAATGACATTTATATTTTTATTCATTTTATAATCTAAAATTTTATTAAAAAAAATAAAGTAAAAAGTTACAAATTTTTAAACCATCAAAACTTTATTTAAGTATTAATTATTTTAACATTTTTATGTTAACCGGTTCATGTGCGGTTATTGTTGATAAGAAAATGAAAATGGTGGGGGGGATTGTATCTGGAGTAATAAAGGAATAAAAAAAAGAAAAATCATATGAAAAATATTTGGTAGACAATTTAAGAGGTGCCATAATGATAGATCTGATAGATAATGTAATGTAATAAGAAGAGAGAAATAGAGCGAGACAAGGAATGTTAGATAACAATTAACTCTGGTGAGTATTTATAAGACAAAGCTGAAGTCATATTTGTAATGTTAAGAGAGAGAGATGAAATAAAAGGTGTTAAATAATTATGATAATGTTTGTTTGTTTAATAATTATGATTAATAAAAAAAATGTCATAAGAAAAGCAGCAGGAGAAATGCAAAATTTCAGTGGAATGCAAGGTGGGTTTGGGGCCCCAATTAATAACCACGGGAAGGAATATTATTGTGTAAAACACGATCATGTAATGTGATTAAGAAACGTTAATCTTGTTTGGTGTTAATTTGTTAACAATAATAGCCAACTTCTTTAATGAGTTCTTTTAACCATGCCTGTCTGTGATTGATTGCTTTAGTCTATATTTCATGTCGGCTTGTTCACAAAAAGCACCCAAAAAAAAAAGCTGTCTTCCTTTTGTTCAGCCCCTCTGATTTCTCGGCGACAAGTCAGTTTTCTCAGCTTTGGTCTTGCACACATCACCCTGCCATTTTCTGCTTTTGCATTTTGGTTGGTTGGTTACTTCTCTTTGTGTGTTGTTGCTGCTCATGAGTATGGTGTCTTGAAGGTGATTCTCTTTTTTTGTCATGTTCTTTTTATCTGAGGGATCAGTTTTTAGGTGGGTTTTGTTATGTTTTTTTAATTGTTTGCTGTTACTGTTGAAATGGTTGTGCTTACACAGGTTTTGGCTTCTTGGACACCATCAGGTTCATTCGTTTTTCATGGGTTGTTGATGTGGGTGTTTCAGCTGCTAAGTTATTGCTTTTGGATTTTGAACTTCGGGTAGAATTTCATTGGGTGTTGGTAGAGTAAATTGTGGAAAGTGGAGGCTTTTATGTCCTGGTCCTCCAAGTTGCGGAATTTGGAACTTGTGTGGGGTTGAAGCCAGCAATTAGTTGCATTCCTGGGAAAAGGGGTGGATTTTTTGTTGAGTTTGCTGGATGTTATTGGAAAACTTTGTGGCAGGCACAAAAGGGGCTTCTTCATCTTCTTGTTTGTTTCTGGGGAAGCGTTGCTGCTATATTTGGATGATGAGTTGGAGTTAGAATTGTTGTTATTGTGGAAAACTTGGGGAACAAAGTTAAATCTTGTGGAGAAAGACCAAGTGTTGAACTTGTTTGGGGTCATCACTTTTATAGGTGGTAATGAAGGCTCCTCCCAATGGTTACTTGCCTAATTCTGGCGAAGGTAGGTTCTCTCAAGCTTTACTTGCAGCCTCATTATGCTTTCTCTCTCTCTCTCTGCTACTGCATTTTCCTGTTTCATCAAACACTAAAACTGTTTGGTGACTTTGAGGATGATTGCTTTTAAGGAAAATGATGCTTCTACATTGTTGAATTAATTTTCTTGAGTTGTTTTTCTGGCCCCTCTTCTCCATGAGATGATTCTTTTTTCCCTGGCCTTAATAAAACGCATACCTTGGCATATTGCTTTGTCTTTTTTTTTGTTGCGTTTTTTCTCCTCATTTTTTCGTCACCTTTTATTCTTGTCTGACTCAAGAAAAGCATTTCTGGCTGTAAATGCCAAATCCAAATATAAATCACGTGTAACTGAATTTTAGAATTCTGGGAAACCTGCATCTCTTTGTTACTTTTGGTAAGTATGGCATAATTATGAACAAAAAAAAAATTCAGTAATTGCTTGTTTTCAGTAATTTCGTCCCCCTACCCCTTTTTCTTGTGCACCTGGAAAATCGAATGCAAGAAGGAAATATTGAATACGTTTACATGATGATCTAATGTTAGAGATTCAGATTCTGGTTTGTATGGCCTCAAATTTAAGGGAAAAATGGTATTAAAGCTAAATTTAAATTTGTTATCCCCCGTGTTTCATAAATGATTGACATGACTTTTTCTACTTGCTATCAATTAAGATACTAAATCCAGTGAGAACAAGGTCACAAGAATGGTGAGAACAATATGCAAGATCTGCTCCATTGTTTATGGCATTAACTATGCTTTTGAGTTTTAAAACCTGTAAACATATGTGCATGGTAATCTTCTTTGACAACATGCTTGAAGAAACTTTCTTTCTCTTTGTACACTTTATAATCTTAAACAAACCATACACTGAAGCAGTGAAGCTATCACCTCACAATTTATATTGGCCTTTATGTCACCATCAATTTGAATGAAATATCAATTCCTTGCCTGATATGAAGTTGTTACTTTGAGCTCTTAAAAGCATGTGTGTCCTTTAACATGGACTCTTCAATTTCTGTCTTTTCCTTCTTTATTTCAATCCTTAATCATAATAAACAAGCATAAACAAGATTGAAGGGTTGACATTTACTGTTTAGTTCTTATATCTTTCTATTAAAAATGTAACATTATGTCCGTGCCTCTTACAGGGGAAAGAAAGACCATCAATTCAGAGTTATGGCATGCCTGTGCTGGACCATTGGTTTCCTTACCTCCTGCTGGAAGTCTCGTGGTTTACTTCCCTCAGGGACACAGTGAGCAAGTATGTATATTATGCCATGATTCCAAGAGCATGATATTTTTTCATTGTGGTTTCTGATGGAATTCTCTTTTGACTACTATAACTTTCAGGTTGCAGCATCCATGCAAAAGGAGGCTGACTTCATACCCAGTTACCCTAACCTTCCGTCCAAGTTGATTTGCATGCTTCACAATGTTGCCTTGCATGTAGGTGCACTTTTCTCATGTGACATGGCAGTTCTGCAATGCTGAAAACTTTTGGAGCTGATTTTTAAAAATTATTATTATAAACTAGATGCATTCCACCTCTACCGTGATTTATTTAACTTGAAGGAGGAGGTGCTAAATTTTCAACTTCTCTGATATTTTTGGATCCTGGCTAGTCATCAGGATAAACTAGTTTGTTTTGAAATGTGTTCTCTGAAGAAAAAGGTTGGACATTTCTGCATGAGATATCTTGGAGTTTTGCATACTTTCCAAGCTGTGTTTTATTCCTCATTTGCTTAATGTGGGGCATATCATTTGCCACCTCATTCATATGTATAGACCAACCTGGGTATATCTGGGGAAGCAAAATATCAGCGCATAAATATTTCTTTCTCAAGCATTTGATATGATGGTCCTCTTTGATTTTTTTACGGTGAACATATAACATATATTGATATTCTTTTCGGTTTTGGATCAGGCTGATCCTGAAACTGATGAGGTCTATGCACAGATGACCCTTCAACCTGTAAATAAAGTAGGTCAGCTGTTCAATTTGATAATTTGTTCCTTTAACATCCATCATGATCAATGATATGGAACTTATCAAAGATTATTTGATGTAACTGTTCTACAGTATGACAAGGAAGCAATACTGGCATCAGACATGGGTCTAAAACAAAGCCAACAACCTACTGAATTCTTTTGCAAAACCCTTACTGCCAGTGACACCAGCACTCATGGTGGATTTTCGGTGCCTCGTAGAGCAGCTGAAAAAATATTCCCACCTTTGGTGTGTTCACAATGTTTTTCATTTATTCTCACTAGGATTGGAAGAGTTTTATGTGATCTATTAATGCTGACAAAAAGTGTTTGGTAGGATTTTTCAATGCAACCTCCAGCTCAGGAGATCGTTGCCAAAGATTTGCATGACAATACATGGACATTTAGACATATTTATCGAGGTATAGCAACTCTTACCTATCTTTCATGTTCTTCATGCCTTCATGCCTTCATCCTTTGTTATGTTATCATTGTTTTTACTTTTATACATGCCTTGCTAATGCAATTCATTGTTATCTAAGCCACAGAAGCTTATATTTTAGTGATGCAACCTCATTGTGGTTAAAGTAAACATGTCTTATTAAAATTCTAAGACTACTAATATTATAAGTTTGACCAAATTATGAATATGGAAGTTGATTATTTGATGTTTTACATGGTTGAATGCTAACATTACGAGAACATCGGTTACAGGTCAACCAAAGAGGCATCTATTGACTACTGGTTGGAGTGTATTTGTTAGCACAAAAAGACTGTTTGCTGGAGATTCTGTCCTTTTCATCAGGTAAGGAATACAATTTTTTGGTGGAAATGTCATGAATAATTTTCACCCTATTGCTGAGCCAATTAATTTTTGTTTACTTTTAGAGATGAAAAACAGCAACTCCTTTTAGGGATAAAGCGAGCAAATAGACAGCAACCAGCATTATCTTCATCAGTAATATCCAGTGACAGCATGCATATTGGCATTCTTGCTGCTGCAGCTCATGCAGCTTCAAATAACAGTCCATTCACTATATTTTATAATCCAAGGTACTATTTGTATTTGGCTTGTATTTGCTATGATATGATAACATGGCATGGCATCCATTGAATATTTGTGACATGTTCTTATAAAAATCTATCAATATAACAGGGCCAGCCCCTCTGAATTTGTAATTCCATTGGCCAAGTATAATAAAGCCTTGTACAATCAAGTTTCTCTTGGAATGAGATTCAGAATGATGTTTGAGACTGAGGAGTCAGGAGTACGTAGATATATGGGTACAATTACGGGGATCAGTGACTTGGATCCTGTCAGATGGAAAAATTCACAGTGGCGCAATCTTCAGGTATCAGAAAGAAAGATATGCATTATTTGTATAGCTAGACATGGTAACATGAACCAGAAAACTTTCTTGTCCTCAACTTATGCAAGTTTACAAAAGCATCTAAAACATGCATTATTGTTTAGTGTCCTACAATCTTTATGTACATGATCATGGGCACCACCCTGTAGTACTATGCGCTTCACCTAGTCTATACTGAACCTCTGTCTTAGCTTCTTGAAGCAATTAAGTTTTGAATTTTTCATAGGTTGGATGGGATGAATCAACAGCTGGTGAGCGCCCAAGCAGAGTTTCGATTTGGGATATTGAACCTGTAGTAACTCCTTTCTACATTTGTCCACCTCCATTTTTTAGGCCCAAATTCCCCAAACAACCAGGAATGCCAGGTAACGAGTTCTCCCCCCATTGATTATATCTATTTTCACTTTAAGACAAATATCTGCTGTGCTGCAATTCATACTGGCCTACTCTGATATAAATAATGAATATGCTTGTAGACGTGTGATTAGTGTGAGGAGGCTGTGTACTAATAGAAATATTTCAGAGACACAATATCCATTAAATATGTTTTTCAGAATTTGGTTTCTAGGCAAAGAAAATATTTTGCAGAGACACCATAATTGTGGTATGAATTTTCTAGAGGTTAGACATCATGAGGTAGGAGGTTATGGTCATGGTATCCTGCATTTTATATTGACCCTCAAACGAATTAATTTTATTCATTCAACTTGTTATCTATTGAAAATAATTGAGAATAATTCATCATAGTAGTTGTTAAATTAAGACAACTTTACTTTGAAGATCAACTGTTCTTCATAAGTCATTTCCTCATTATGAAATGTTTTTGCTGTTGACTTTGCAGAAGATGAGTCTGATATAGAAAATGCTTTCAAGAGAGCTATGCCCTGGCTTGGAGATGACCTTGGCATGAAGGATGCCTCAAGTTCAATCTTCCCTGGTTTGAGTTTAGTGCAATGGATGAGCATGCAGCAGAATAATCAGTTTTCTGCTGCTCAATCTGGTTTTATACCCCCATCCATGCTTTCATCTAATACACTTCATGGTAACCTTAACACTGATGATCCATCCAAGTTATTGAACTTTCAAGCCCCTGTCCTTACTGCTCAAAATCTTCAATTTAACAAACCTAATTTACCAAACCAAGTGAACCAATTGCAACAGTCCCCAACATCATGGCCTCCGCAGCAGCAGCAGCAGCAACAGCAGAAGCTGCAATCATTGTTGCAAACACCATTAAACCAGCTCCAGCAGCAGCAGCAGCAACAGCAGTTGTCTGGACAACAAAACCTGCCACAGACACAGCAACAACAAACCCAACTACCTCAACAGAGAGCACAGCAGCCACAACAACCACAACAGCAGCAGCAACAACAACAACAGTCGTGTCAACAGACCATTATGAATAATGGAGCAGTTGCTGCTAACCAGATTCCAAATCAGTGTGTACAGTCACCAGTAACTTACTCACAGTTTCAGCAACAGCAATTACTCCCAGGAAGTATATCACCCCAACAAAGTTTCCAATCAGCTGGTAAGAATCAATTGCTAATGACATCCTTACCTCAAGACTCTCAGTTTCAGCAACAGATAGACCAGCAAGCTAGTCTCTTACAGAGGCAGCAGCAGCAACAGACACAGTTACAACAGTCTCCATTGCAGTTATTGCAACAAAGCCTGTCACAAAGGGCGCCACAGCAACCACAGATGACTCAAGTGTCGCAGCAAAATACCTCAGAGCAGCAACCACAGTTACAGTTCCTACAGAAATTGCAGCAGCAGCAACAACAACAACAGCAACTCCTTTCCACTTCTAGCTCACTTTTGCAGTCTCAGCTTCTAGAGCAACAAAATACTCCCCAACAGAACCAGCAGTTACCACAGCTTCCTGTTTCACAGCATCAGCCTCAACAGCTTGGCAACAGTGGATTCTCAATGGAGAAGCTTCTAAACGGCAATAACTTTGCTTCTGCAGCTCTGATGCAAACACAGCAGTTTCCTGTGAATCAACCTCATCATGCTCAAAAATCGCTTACTAATACCAGAGCTCTCTCTACTCTTACAGATGGAGATGCCCCCTCATGCTCAACTTCACCATCTACTAATAACTGCCAGGTATCTACGCCAAACCTCCTGAAAAGAAATCAACAAGTAACAGCTACATTAGGAGGACCTTCAGTAGTTGAACCCACCAATAACCTGATGCAAGAGCTTCAAAGCAAGTCTGAAATGCAGATCAAACATGAAGTACCCAGTGTAAGAGGACCTGATCAGCTAAAGTATAAAGGGACAATGGCTGATCAGCTGGAAACTTCTTCTGGAACATCTTATTGTATTGATCCTAATAACATCCACCAGAACTTCCCACTTCCAAACTTCTGCATGGATGGGGATGTCCAATCACACCCAAGAAATAATCTACCATTTGGATCAAATCTTGATGGATTGACACCTGATACTTTGCTCTCAAGGGGGTATGATTCTCAAAAAGATCTTCAAAACTTGCTGTCCAATTATGGTAGTGCTCCAAGAGACATTGAAACTGAGCTGTCTACTGCTGCCATTAGTTCGCAGCCATTTGGAGTGCCAAACATGCCTTTTAAGCCTGGATGCTCTAGTGATATTGCCATCAATGATACTGGGGTTTTGAATAACGGTTTGTGGGCTAATCAGACTCAGAGGATGCGAACTTACACTAAGGTTTGTCATTACTCATTCTGTAACAAATTTATAAGTCTACTTTAATTTAGTACCATTACTGCATACATTTGGTCTCTTAATCTTTAATGCAACTAGAAAAGTAGAAATGCCTCACAATTTTAAGATAGTGCATGTTAAACATGATAGGGGTGTTTTGGTTCTTTATATTTTCGTAGATCACTTTAAATATGCGTATATCAGATTCGTTTCCTAAATAATTTCATATAGTTGTGAGATTTTTAACTGTCTTGGTAACCCCCCCCCCCACACACACACACACGGACACAGATAGTTGTTTCTCCTGTTTTTTTACATATTTTATTTTCTCTATCCAATTTTTAAACAAAAAATTGTGGTTCATCATCCATCTGCTATTCCAGTACTGCAAAATGAAGGGAATATTAACTTGTGTTGTCCTTTGAGATTATTTGGTGTAATAAAGTTGGTATGTTTTGTCATATTTTGACTGGAAAACTATATAGAGGGGAGAGGGGGTACACCATAGCTGTCATTCCTGCATCTGTGTCACGTGCTTTAGTCTTATTACTTGTGTTTTAATATATTATTGGATGGTATCCGAATTCTTAATACTGCTTTACTTATTTTGAAGGTTCAAAAATGTGGTTCTGTCGGAAGATGTATTGATGTCACTCGTTACAAGGGATATGATGAACTCCGGCATGATTTGGCTCGGATGTTTGGGATTGAAGGGCAGCTAGAAGATCCTCAAAGGACTGAGTGGAAACTGGTCTATGTGGATCATGAAAACGACATTCTTCTTGTCGGTGATGACCCTTGGGAGTAAGTAGTTGATTCTTGTAGATAATAATATTAGTCTTTTCTATTTCATCCATTCGGGTGTATTTTCTCACTCATGAACTTCTAATTCCCTGCAGAGAATTTGTAAGCTGTGTCCAGAGCATAAAGATATTGTCATCTGCTGAGGTTCAGCAAATGAGCTTGGATGGGGATTTAGGTCATGTTCCAATTCCCAACCAAGCTTGTAGTGGGACAGATAATGGCAATGCATGGAGGGGACAGTATGAGGATAACTCTGCAGCCTCGTTTAATAGATAAAGGATATCTAGTACTGACATTTTGGAGCAGTCAACTTGTATATTTTGAAAGATGGAGGACTAACTTAACCCTTATAATTCTTGTTGGTGCTTCTTTGTATCACAAGTGAAAGGACATATATTCATTGCAAAAGATGCAGTTGATGGGGTAGTGTAGAAGAGGTAACAAACATACCTGCATCTAATTTTATGTCAGCACATGCTTTTAATAGTAAGAGAGAAGTTTAGATCCTTAGATGTACCAAGACCAGAATCCTTTACTGAAAATGTTGGCAGATTCTACTTCAGGATCTGCTTTTCTTGTGGCCTCTAGTGCTTAGGAAATTTTTTTTCTTTTCTTTCTTTTGGGCAAGGTATAGCCGTATAGGTCAGCTGGTGTATAATATATATGATTGTTCTTATGTGAAGAATATGTTTTTCTTACACTTATGTAAATCTTGTGGTCGTTAAATTTAGATGAGGAAGTCAAATAACCAAGTGATGAATGGGAGAATCAACATTACATATGCCAATTCTAGCTTTTGTTCAAGTGCCCAGTTGTTTCCATGGTGGCAATTATGGAGGGGTTTATTATGGATGAAGAAAAGTAGGTTCTTTTTCGCGTTTTTGCACTTTTGGGTTTAGTGCGCTTTAGCTTGCAATTAACTTCTTGCATATGTAAATGATGTCTTGAAGAGGCAACTTTGACCCAGTTCACTGCTTCAAGTGCTGTATTAAATAACGGTATTGGCGATTATATTCGTACACGAGAAAATTAGGAGGATAAACTTAAACAATTATATAATTTACTATGTATGTAGATATTATGGTAATTTTAATAATTGAATTTTCATATAGTAATAATAACTTCATAATTTTCTTATTAACGTGATTCCTTCACTAAGAGATTAATTTTTACCCTATTATTTTACATCTAAACTTTGACTTGCTTACGCAAGTCTACGATGAGATTGAATCCTCAGTTTGAAAAATAATGGCACGTGATATTGATAATTCTCAGCTATTTTATAATTAAAAGCTCACTAACAGTTAAAAATAATTTTTAAAAAAAAGTAAGAGTATGTTTGATTTCTCTTTTAAAAAGAGTTTTCTATTTTTTTCTATTTTAAAAAAGTAAGAATCTTATTTCCTTTTCATTTTTCTTGTCATTCTAAATGAGGTTTTTCTCCCTTTTTTATGAAAAAAACCAAACAGATCAAATCCTTTCCCTCTCATTTGTTTTTTATTTTTACTCTCCCTCGTTATTCTTCTAGTATATTTTAGAGCTACTAATGTTTCACTTGTTCATGAAATGGCTATCAATCAATCTCATTCCTAATTAATTAGTAAATAACAGGTAAAAAAAATTGTCGTCATAGTCTCGAAGCAATGCTACTCTCTTCCCTTTTGCACAATTAGTAATTTACTGAAAATATTCAAGTGCTGACGGCAACTATCGTCGTGAATATTTAAAAAAAAAGATTATATTCTACAAATATTAATTACCCCTACTGTTCTACTTAGTATTTTAAGACGTAATAAGAGTCTTCTTAGGAATTATTTCTTAAAAAACTGATCAAAAAACTAAATGAAAAATATTCATTAAATATTACATTAAATATCTTAATAATACTAAATTATTAATAACACTTATTTTTTATATTATTTTGTATTTTTAATCCCTTAAACTGAGGTTAAGATTTAACTTAAAACAATTAGTAAGAAAATGTCGTAAGTAATTGCAGAGTTTAATTCAACGCCAGGAGTGTATCAAATCCAAATATAATGCAGATAGTCTAAGGAACGGATTGCCATCAACTATATTCCAAAAGTCATTACAATTGAAAAAAAAAAATCCACTTTTCCTCGAGATGAACACAAAAATTTTACGTTACAAAACCCAAACAAGTTGTTCCTAGGAGAGGACAGCCATGACATCTGAGACCCTCAAGGTAATATACTCAGAACCATCTTTGCCCTTGAAGTCATTTCCAGCATATTTGGAGTACAAAACGGTGTTCCCAGGAGACACAGATAAAGGTTTTCTGTTGCCTTCCTCGTCCAGGGGCCCTGGACCAACTGCTGCCACCTATAACATACCAAATATTATAAAAACATTCAATCAGAACATTGTTGCTCCACAGCATGTACATGGGAAATAGGACATTGCCAAATGCGCAAGTCGAAACATTGTTTCTTGACAACTGACATTGATTAAGCTATATTTTCAAACAAAATAAGACCGTGATAGGAATGCTTACCGTTCCAATCGACGGTTTCTCTTTGGTTGCCTCTGTAAGATACAAACCGCCAGCAGTTTTCTCCTCAGCTACTGCAATCTGCACTCAATATTTAATCAAATGAGTAGCTACCATCAACATTATCACAGGCATCCAAAAGAAGCAGAGACCATAGTGCCTTCAATAGTCACCCCCATATGGAAAAACAAGGTTAACAAAAATTATGACATGGGCAGAACCTAAATTCACCTTGAAAATTATATATGATTTGACTAATAATCATATGCCACTCTCCACCAAAAGATCCAAACATTGAAATAAGCAAAGCTCTAAAGAAGTATAGTACCTTTATGAGGACTCTATCATTCAAGGGTTTGAGATCTTTGATGTCATCAGTTTCAAGGATACCAACAATGTCATCATCTTTCACAATAAGATGCTTTGTACCATTGAATTCCACCTCAGTACCAGCATATTTGGAATACACAACTTGTGCGCCTGTCTGCTCAAAGAAAATACATCACACAAGTTAAGGACAACACCTCCATCCCCAGAAAATTTAAAAATGTATCACTAAAGGTTTACTGACTTCCTAACTTAGCAGCAACATTACCTGAACACTAATATCTACTTTGGCCGTCCCAATTGTCTTTCCCTCTCCAACAGCAACCACCTCACCCCCTTGAGGTTTTGTTTGAGCAGTTGGGGGAAGCAAAATTCCACTATTGGTTTTTTCCTCCACTTCTTTAATTTTTATCAGTACTCTGTCACCAAGAGGCTTAATAGCAGTGAACTGCATGCAAAAACTATCAATAAGGTACATGAAAGCATTGGATTATAAAAGCACATACATGTATTTCAAAAGCCAAAATGGTTGAAACATTCCTAGAATGACTAAGAGTATGATTGGGAGTTAGATAAAAAAGGAAGGAAGAGTAGGACATATATCTAGTCCTCTTTACAAGAAACAAATACCTAATTCATGAAGACGAATAAAAAGTAGTCATATATCATAAATTTAGAAATGCTTAGAGTATTAATTGGTGTCTTATTTATTAAATTTGCTTACATTAGTAACACAAATCTCATAATAAATAAAGATATTAAAAGAATTTAGAGATGAATGTATTTAAAAAAGGATACATGTTTCTTATAATGAGGTCAAGAAAATATTAAAATTATTTTATATAAATAGGACCAGAGATAGTATTTCTAAAATTAAGAGAATTATAAAATATTTACAAAAATAAACAATAGACCAACACATAAAGTATCTGTTTGAAAACACGGCAAAAAGTTATAAACGTAGATCCAGCACAAAAATTATAACTTATTAATTGAAGTAAGTGTAGACCCGTGTTCATTGAAACGTAAATACAAACATGCGATAAGTTTATGCTAACCATTTCATTTTATTTCTTTTATTTTACAAAATTATCAAATTCGACAATATTAATTAGAAATAACAAAATTTATTGTTCCCTCTCTTCTCCAAAACCCAACTTCCAAAGATGTGACTGGAACATAGCAGTTTGGTTCCATAACTCAATTACAAAGGCAATCCAGGAGAAATAAAAGCTAATAGAAAACCATAAAAAAAAAAAAGGAATACAGTTGTCCAAAACTAAAATGCTTGGTATAAGCGTTCATCGTCAATGTTCTATAGTTCCAAAACATACATCCAAACAAACTGTTCCTCGCACAGCGTTATTCACCAAACCCAACACACTCTCGAGTTCATATACAAACCACACTATATTTGGCGAAGGAAGATAAATTTTCATTCTGATTGTAGAACAAAAGATATACATATTCTCATGAATCCTTCCAATTAAAACATTTTTTATGCGGCATTGACATAACAAAATAGATAAAAGATAATAGCAAAAAATGCAGCACCTTTTTCACTCCGAACAATTATAACAACACTTCAAATTCATCTAATTTTTATAAAAGGAAAAAAAAAAGAGAAGAAAACCTTAGGGGCAACGACAGCGGCGGCTTTCACAACAAGACCACGAAAGGGGGTTTGGGAGAGATTGGGAATTCTGACACGGGAAGGAAACTGAAGCGCCGAAGGTCGAAGCCCTTCAAACGACGCCGTAGCTATTGAAGATGCTGTTGCTGTGAGCTGAGCGCCGGCCATTGATTGCAATAAGTACACTGCACACCGAAATTAACGAAAACAAGTGATGATGAGAGTTCGTGTGGAAAGCGAATTATCGCGAGAAAAGTGTATCATTAAATTACCTTTAATACAGGCGAAGCTGAGAGATATGTGAGTGAGGTTAGAGTGTGTGAGGAATGGGGGTTGAAACGATGAAGATAATAAAACCCTAAAAATGGATAGGGGGTTTTATCTTATGATAATCGACCCTTCTAGAACGAACTAGTGCACTCGTTCGGACGATACTGAGACTGTGTTCACGCGCCCAACCCACCCATTTCAGCCCCCTTGTTTATCCCTTTCAATAAGTAATTTTAGAACAGAATAATTTTTTTTTACTACACTTTTTAATATAATTTTCATTATTTATTAAAATTATAAAAAAAATATGTGCGGTAATAAAATTAAAATTTTTGTTTAAAAGAAGAGTTAAAATTACCAAATTAACCTTCACACTTTATTTTTTTATTTTAATTTAATTCTCTCACTTTTTATTTTATTTTTATTCTCCACCTTTTAAATACGTTTTTAATTAATTTTTTGTTTAAAAAATTAATATATTATAATTCATTCAGTATTTTTCACACATCTTAATCTTCCTTTATTAACTATTTTTTCATTAGATAAAATATATTGTATTATCTTATTATTAAGAGATTATAATATCTGCTTATATGTAAAATAATTATTATCATTAATTTTATATTAATAAACAGTAAATTTAATAATTTAATAAAAAAATATGTAAATACTTATTTAATATTTAAGATATTAAAAAATTATAATTACAATGTATAAAATATATATAATAACTTCTCAAATTTTTAGTATCCTAATAAACAATTATTTCTTATCAATTTTTTTCTCCTTTTCATCTATTTTATTGTTTAGTTTTTCTTTACTACTTAGTTCTTCTCCTTCTTTCTCTTGCCATCTCTTTCCATTATCACACAAAATCATAAACAAAACATATTTTTTTATTATGATTGTATCAATATTGTAAGTCATCATAATCGATATTTCAAGTTACAATTACCATAACTCTTTATGTCAAATGATGGTACTTACAATGGTTAATAAAAGTTGATTTTAATAAATGATAATAATAAAAATGTGTTTTAACAATAGTAGAAGAGTGAGACTTGTTGAGTTTAATTTGTGCAAATATAATTTCTTTAGAGTGATGGATAATTATAATTTAAAATGTTTGATCTGTGTTGTGATACTAACGGTAGTCAATGATTTGTTTAATAGTGATAAATTTTAATAAATATGAATTATGGTAGGTGATAATTTGTGATGAGGAAAGTAGAGATAATAATTACACTTTCCTTAATGGATATGACAACTTTAATAGGTATGATGATGAGAGTGATAATTTGGTAAATTTTGAAAATGTAGTGAATGGTACTTTTATTAAAGGTAGAGTAAAGGGTGTTGTTTTAGTTAATTTAAAGACAAAGAAAAAGAAAGAGAAGAAAAATGAGGTGAAAGAGAAGGAAGGTAAAGTGAAAAATGAATAGTCAACTTTTTTTAATAATTTTATTATAAATTTTTGGCTTAATTATGTTTTTGGTCCTTATAAATATAGACATTTTTGTGATTAGTCCTTACAAATATTTTTGTTTAGAAATGATCCTTATAAAATAGGTAAATTACGAATTGGTCCCTGCCATTAACTCTTCTTCTGTTAAGTACTAAGCTTGGCCTAAAAGAGTCCTTATCAGTTGCTTACATGGCTTCATACTTGCTTAAGTGGTTTGCTGAGATAGATTATTGAGGAGGTGGGTCACTTTCATAAATGAAAAACACCAAATTTTTAACCTCATTTCATTGTTTTATATTTAGGACAGACTGTGAAAAACCCCAATCTCCTGCTGCAGGTAGTCTTATTCCTCAACATTATCGAAGCCATTGGAAGGACAAAAGGTACAATACAATTTTGGAGCAACAAAATTAATGGCAACAAAATCACGAGTTTCAACATCTTCCTCAGCGGTATCGAAGCGACCAGGATAACCTCTATGTGATTGTGGAGAATTGTTGGTCCTATTTACATCCAATAGAAAGAAAAATTCTTGGAAGGGCGTTTTGGATATGTCTAAATTGAAAAGTAAGTAATAAATATCTTTCACGAGTAGTGTTTTGTATTGTTCATTAACTTCAAAAATATTTCTTACATTCGGTGTGTGTGAAATGTACAGTTTAAGAAGTCTTGTAAGTTCATTGAATGGGCTAATGAAGGAGTTTACGAGGGAGTGAAATTTCTGTGTTTGAATGTGGTTCTAACAATCACCGAAGAGCATGTGTGTAGGATTATAAATTTATAAAGAAAACTTGCACGTGAAAAGGCAAAGAGATGGATTCTATGTTACACAGTTGGAGTTTCTTAGGCCATAATTGTTTTGTTATTTATGTATATTGTCATGATAGGTTAAAATATAATTTATGTCCACTGTAGTAATATGAAATTGCAGTTTTAGAGTTCTGCAATTGTGTTTAGTTATTGTATTTTTAAAGTTTATACTTGTGTAAATCTGATTAATTATTGTTCTTTTTAGGTATGTATTTGATGGTGACTTTAGTCAGGTAACCAGATTTATCATAAATGAAATATTTTTTTTAAAATGTCATATTATTGAACAACTGTGGGAGTGTACTATTTGGATTGTTTAACTGTGGTGTGTAAAATAACCTTATATTGTTTTGTATATTGTTCTTAAATAAAAGTTGTCCCAAAATAACATGCACAACAGGTGTCCAATGTTAATATTTAATTGCAATCAGTCAACAGAATAATTTGTACATGTTAAAAAAGACGTTTCAAAGTTTTGTACATAGTTATGGGATAACAACTCATTAAATTACATTTACACCAACAAAATAATGTGTAGGTTTTCAGTATTAATATATAACTCTGCAATCTACCAATAAAATAATTTGTACATGTAAACAAAAAGGCTTTACATAAGTTGTGTCAACATAATATTTTTCATAAGTATATCCAAAATAACCTTAATATGTTTTGTACATTGTTCTGGAATAAAAGCTGTCCAAAATAACATCTAATTGTGGATAATAATATGCAGTTGTCCAGTGTTAACATTTAACTGTGCAAAATAATATTAACTTTGCAATTACATCCAACTATCAGCAATACATCATGGATTAAATTCAACTATTTTTTACATAATGTTACATTTGTACATCTAAAAAAGAAAAATTCATATTCCCTCTAAGTTAAGCTAGTTGTATCATAATGTGTAACAGAAATTGGGTCAACAACAATAACTTCAGATTAGCTTGTAGTAAGGAATAATGATTGTAATTCTTGTGGAGTGTTTGTTGAATCATGTTCCAGGCACTTAGTTAGATAGTCCTTAAAGAAAAAAAACCACAAAAATGCCTATATTTATAGGAATTACAAATATAATTAAACCTAAATTTTTAAAAAAATAAGTGACTATTTAAAAAAGATCAATCTAAATACATAGTGAAACATTTCATAAACAGAGTAACCTAATAAAGTTGTGTATTTAATAAAAATTAAACAAGAAAAATATATATTTTTAAAAAATAACATATTTGATATAAAAATTAATTGATTTTTTATTGGTAAATTATTTTATTATAAGTAAAATTTTAGATACTATCATGGATCATAAAGTCATGTAAATACAAATTTAACGTGTTTGATAAAATTATATTAAAAATGTTTTGCTTAAGTTATATTTACAATGTGTATTTAGATTAAAATTTTATTGTATATATAATTTCTTTCATGTATTAATAATATTTTTTAATAAACATTTTAAACATCACTGGTAATATTTATTAAATTTTTAAAAAATGTTAGCTAGTCACGAATTAATGTGAAGTCTTAAATATATTTTTTAAGAATTTTTGTCATGATTTTTTTTTATTAAATTACTTGAAATTTTTTTTATTAGTTATGTAAAAAAAAATATTCTTAATGAAGATAAACTTTTTAATTCAATATAAAGAAAAAATAAAAAAAATGAATTCCAATAATTTTAAGGTTATATTTTTAAAAAAATTACAATCATTGATAAAATTTATAATATTAATGAAGTTACTGGTATTTTAAATTTTTACGAAGTCCTCAAAACTATATAGTATTTAAAACTAAAAAAATATTATTATTAATTTATTTAATCTATAAAATATTACACACGTAAAGAATTTATATATAATGTATTTTTATTAAACAATATAACATTGATATATTTATACAATTTATTATATCTTATTGTAGGGAGTTCTTTCTAAGTTGTTTCTGAAGCTGAAATTTGAGTGAAAACTTTGTATGTTTAAAAGAATGAATTAATGTTATGCTTAAGTCAAACATCACTATTCTCTTTTTGAGGGATCCAATTGTCTCAGCCATATTTTGAGTCTTAGGCTAAGTGCTGTTTGTCCCAATTCAGGAATCGATTCTTGCGAAATCGATGACTTCATCAATTCGTAAACATAAATTTTGCTTTGTTGGGCTTACTGCAGTTAGAACCGCTAACATATCCTTCATAAAATCACTTTAACACGGTGATTGGTGTATGACTTTTTTAAATTCTTTGAATTGTGATATTCACGAATATTCTATAACTTTTTAAATTAATAATTATAATTTTTCTAATATCTTAAAAATAATAAAATAGTAATATTTTTTTAATTAAACTACTAATTTTATTATTTATTATTATCAAAATTGTTTTACATGTAAGAGAGTCTCACACTCTCCGTTATAAAGTACCATATATTTTTACTTATAATTTTCATGTGTAATAATGGTTATAAAATTTGAAATACAATAATTTGCAGTAATAAGAAAGAAGAGGTCATCAATTTGGTGGCCATTTGCTACTATTACAGCATCCTTTTCGTTAACAGCGACAACTATCAACGCCGCGTTGCCTTTGAATGTCCTTTACTCCCTCAACTTCGCGCACGTGCTCCTGTTTCTCATTAATCATCCCTTCACTTGTATCAATATTCATTAAAAAAAAATAAAAAATATATATATTTTGTAATTTTTATTACATACCTTGCAAAATCATATACAAGACTAAGTTAATCCTTATAAACGTATTATGTTTAAGGATAGAGATTGCTAATTTTATTATTTACAAACTAAGTTTTAATAATTTACTTTAAATTATTTTTTATAAATATTGAGTACTATTTAAATTTTTATTTTAAAACATTTTGTATTAATTAAAATAAAGATCTATCCCATGTTTAATTTTTATAATATTAAATTAAAATTTCATTATCTGACTTAATATTTAGCAAACAAAAATGAATAATAAAAATTACTTTTTATCGGCTTAATTTATTAGATATTAAATTTAAAAAATTAAAAATATATTCCAATAATTACAATTTTTTAGAAAGTAAAGACACTTATTTAAATCTAAAATATATCATGTTTTGTATAAAAATATATGTATAAATATAACATTTATATATGTCACAAATCATAAATTTTTACGTGAAATATCAAGATGTGTATGTGCAGAATAAATAAATAAATCCAAGTGTAATCAATTACTATAATTTGTATGATATATAATAATACATGTATAAATATATATATATATATAACACAAAATTTGCTTATATTATTAAATATATGTCTTAAATTTAAACTAAACAATGTTGTATTTATCATAAATTAAAATTGTAGATAAATTATTAGTATTAACTAATAAGAAAAGATTTATTGTTTGTTATTTGTGTATTTAACAAAATCATGTTCTGAAAGAAAATATATATTAAATATCTCATTCCGTACATACGTTAAATTATTAAATTTAACGGAAATCGTGAACTTGTTAGGTCACCAGCCGAGGTAACGTCTTATACTAAAACTAGTGCCAATTTGACTCGTTGTTTTTTTCTAAAATGTACGCTTACTTGCTTCTCTTTTTTTAAATTGTGGATAAATTTAGTTTTTTTGGTAGTGTTTTTCAGTTGATTTTGGTAGTGTGGATAAATTTTGTTTATAAAATTTTAAAATTAATAATTTTCTATAAATTTTTAAATTTAATAAATTTAGTCTTCATCAAATTTAAAAATTTTGAATTATCGTTTCTTACTTAAAATTTTTTTAAATCAAATTGATTAAATTGATTTTTATTCAAAATCAACCGATTAAAATACATAATTTCACTTAAAATGAAAAAAAATATTTTTTAAAACGAGACTTAATCATATTTGTCGTGTATTAATATTTAGTGCCACGTGACATTTATTTATTGCAATGCGATGTTCAGAAGGAACAAATAAATTGGGTAAGACTATTAATTGACGGTTTCAAGTTAAAGAAAATTAAGAGGAGGAACAGTTTAGATTAATTTTAAAACGAAGAACTTATCTGGCTTAATAAAAATTGAGAAAATAAAGCTATACATAATTTAAATAAAAAAAAAACAAGAAATTGACTAGCTCAATGTGAAACGATTTTCAGTCATAAATTCATAATCTTAATGAAGTGAGAAGCTAAGAACTAAGCTGTTAGTAGACAAACAAACACATTGTAAGATCATGGACAAGGGAAGTGAGATGTTAAGCATGTTTTGGAATTTGTATTCCATTTCTCTTTTTAAATATTTAATTCTTATTATTTTAATAAATGAAAAAACGATGTATTAAGAACACGTTTGATTTCTCTTTTAAAAATAATTTAAATAAGATATAGTATGAATTTATATTATATTTTATTTTTAAAAATAAAAAACTATTTTAAAAGAAAAATTAAACATACTCTAAATATATTTTAAAAAACTTTCTCATTCTTTCTTTTTCAATACTGAAATTTTATCTATTTTAATAAGCAAATAAAAAAAGCGACACTCAACCTAGTTTATAAAATATTTTTTTTTATTTTTTTCAAATATTCAATGCTTATCCTTTTTAATAAATATGAAAAATAGAATCTTAAACGTGTTTTAAAGAATATATTTTTTACATGAATTTTTTTCTGAATTTTTCTGTACAAATTCACTTATTTTGAGGAATATTTATACCTATTTTTTTATGAACTTGTTTGTGTAAAAATAAATAAATAAATCATATAAAAATAACATTTAATACAAAAGAAGACAAGAAGACACATAATATAATATAAAAAGATAAAATTAAGAATATAAAAAAGTGAGACTTGTATCATTTATGTAATTTTTAATAACTTTTAATTAATAATAAAAAATGTGTAGTTGACATTTTTCTCATTAATATCATTTTCTAGTCTAACATATAATTTTATATCAGTAATATATATGTATTGATATTTAATATTTATATCCTAACCTTTAATGCAAATCGGTATCATACATTTTAATAATGTAAAATTTTATTTTTATTAGAGAATAATACATTCAAATGTCTGTGACCAGTAAGCCTTGTAAAGTTATTCATAACAAGCTATTGTTTAATAAATTAAACATGGTACGAGTTACAATACTTGTTTCCACGTACATGCAAACTATATTTTTATTTTACTATTTTATACATTATTTTGATTTTTTTTGCCTGTTAAGTGAATATTTTTGTTTAATTTATTTTATAAAAATGAGTACTTGTTTTTTAGTTTTTTATAGAATTTTGAGAAAATTAAAATTATTATTTTAAAAATTGTTTCAACCAAACACGTGTCAAATAAACATTTATATTTTAAAATATTTTTATTTGTTTTGACCTACCATCCTAATATATTTATTATTTTTTAGTTTAAAATTAAAAAATTGTAATATCTACGAAATTAAAAACATTGCCACAAGGCCGGATCCAGGTGGCCTTTTATTATTAGTTATATTAAGTATATTAATAATTCTGTAATTATGCAATATATCTATCTTATAGAAGGGTTGATAATCCTTATACGTGCATTCATAAAATGGTATGTTGAGCCCTTAAAAAAATTATGACTAATTTCAAAATAGTAATAATAATCAATGGCTGCGAGAAAATTATATCATAAAATCCTGATTACAGATTCTCATACACACGCTATTAAACTTTGACCCACGTTTAATAAAAGAGGCTTGAGTGAGTATAGTCTTTGTACTTTCTACAATTCTACGTGAAGTACAACTTAATCTGAGTTATATCGGAGAACTGTGTATATAAATAAATAAAAGGCTGAATGAAAATACCATATTTGAATTGCGTTTGAATTGACATTAAGTTCACTCATGAATTTATTTTAATGATACGAAGTTATAATTGAGAATTAAAAATAATTGAACATAATTTTGAATAAAATATAAAACTCTTTCTTAATATGTGAAAAAGTAAAAGGCATTTTATTTACTTATTTATTGATTAATTTATTAAGGAGCAAAGGGAAGTGGAAGTTTCGGTGGTAGAAACCTAGCAAAGGTGGTAATTGGGGAAGTGGTATTTACTTGTTTAAGTTAAATGTAGCCGCAAATATTTAATTGAATGGAAAGGATGCGTCAACAAGGCCACAGAACTGAAGTGAGCAGTGAGAAGTGAGAGTGTGTGGCATCTTCAAACTTCATGAATTTAAAAATGCTTTTACCATATAATATAATATAACGTTGTTTATTCAAAGAGGAGAATGTAATACTAAAATCACGTGATTATAAAACCAAGTGAGTGGTCTAATTTTGTTGTCTAATATTGTCTCAAGAGACGCGGAGGGACATCATCATGGCTGTCGTCAGCGTCCACGTGTACATCGTTATGCACTTTCCAACACAACTCCTCTGTCAACTGTCACACACGCCTTCTAAGTCTTACACACAGTGAGTCAAACTTCTTCACTCGCTTCATTGCAAATATAAAAGCCGCAGACTCTTCCTCCATCAGATGCAAACGCAGCCAAAACTGCCAACGACAACATTCCCCAACACAACCCAAACAAAAGCTTGCGATACTAAAACCACAAAAGCGAAAAAGAAAAAAAGGAAAAAAGAAATAACAAAAGTGTAAAACATTTCGGGTCATTTAAAGTAGCGAGTGAGTTTGTGTCGGAATTAAAAAAAAATATGGTGAAGTCGAGCGTGGAAAAAAAACCTGCGGCGGAGCGAAACGGCTCGTCGTATAGAGGTGTAAGGAAGAGGAAGTGGGGAAAATATGTGTCTGAAATTAGGCTTCCCAATAGTCGACAGAGGATTTGGTTGGGTTCCTACGACACCGCCGAGAAAGCGGCGCGTGCCTTCGACGCCGCCATGTTCTGCTTACGTGGCAGCGGCGCGAGGTTTAATTTCCCGACTGACCCGCCGAACATCGCCGGCGGAAGGTCCATGACTCCCTCTCAAATTCAGATCGCCGCGGCCCGTTTCGCGAATTCGGAGCCTCGAAAAGAATATTCGGGTCCATCCGTTTCTACACCGATGGAGTGTTCTTCTGAGGAGGAGGAGGAGGAGGAGGGGATGGCGTCGTTGCCTATAGAGTCGCCGTCGCCTTCAGAGGTGAAGGTGCAAACCGACAGCGACGCCACGCAAAACGGGTCGTTTTCGGATTTGTTTTCCGCAATCGGGACGGGTCATTTCGAACCCGAATATTGTGTTTTTCCGGGTTTCGATGAGTTTAGTAGTGACTTCTATGTGCCGGAGCTGCCAAGTTTTGATTATGAAGAGAACTTGGATGGGTTGGTTATTCTGGACTCGAACTTGTGGAACTTCTAAATGGGTCGGGTTTTGGGTAATTTTATTATATCCGAAATCGTGACAAGAACTCGGGTTTGGGTTGGTCAATTTTTATGGGACCAAGCCCTCTGCTATAGTTTAGTGCTGTGGGTCATTATTATTTTTTACCACGTAGTTAAGGTTTTCGATTTTGCGGATAAGATTCATAAAATCATTTAATAGTCATGACTCAAGATCATTACTTGTAAAGTTGTGTGCAGATATTGTAATTCTTTTTAGCCATTCATTCAATTATATAAAAGGATAAGATTTTTCGTCTAGATAATGTTGGTGACAAGGCCTGGCCCATTAATTAAAATTGTTTATACTGTTATTAAGAAAGGACATGTGATTTTGACCAAAAACAAATTGAAAAAAGGACGTGATGATCATATATATCCCAAGAGAACACAATCTGTGGAGTATTTGATGATCATATACAGACTTGATTGTTGATGGATTCCTTAGCTCATCAACTATATTTTTATATACATAGTTGATTAAATTCAACTAATAGCTTAACAATTGTAACTTTAAAAAAACTTACCACTTCAATTAATTAGTGATTAATCGAATCAATATTTGGACTTAGAGATCAGTATGCAGTATGATATTAATAACATTGGCCAGCTGCGGCACCGGAATTTATGATTTGGAATTTTGGCCCGTCAGCAAATAAACAGTAAGAGAATACTAAAATTAAAAAGAGGGAAATGCGTCTAAGCTTTCTTTAAAATAGAGAATCTGATGAGCCTAAACTAGATGTCCCTTATCTATTTAACTAGTAATTAATAAAAATCCTAACAAACTGCTTCCACAGCGAGCCTCTTGACCATGTCTCCACAACTTCCTGGTCCAAATGTTTTTTCTGAAACATCAATCGAGCATGATTCCTTGCCCACACATGCCTATATATAGAAACCCAAAATTTGAAGCAAGTTAATCCATCATCATATATAAAACAATTTTGAAGATACAAATAAAAATTAATTAAAAGCTTACATTTTTCATAATGGACAAAGCATCACTATTGCTTTCGCAACTGCCCCTACTAAATGCTCCACATTCACCTTGTGGATTGCCAAAACTTGCAAACTTTATAGCCGAGATGGGACGACCATAGCAAGACAATTCCAAAGTCTTGTTCTCATGAGTGTTTCCACAAGCAGTGCCAACAACAACTGTTTGGAAATTCACTAGTGATGGGTTGCCACCAATTTCCTCAAACAAAACCAATGTGTTTTCACCATCTTGAATAAAGGAGCGAGGCACATGGTACCTGAAATTATTTAAAACAAAGCACCAATTTTTGGAGATGCGATATTATTAAATAAAATAGTAATTAATTAATCAACATGAGAAAAAAAAAAAGGGCATATAAGGCAATTGTGAAAGAGTTTGAGTCAACGAACCATCGCTGGGTGGGGTTTCCACAATTGCTAACACATTTTTTGTCATCATATTCACCACGGTAGTCACAAGGGTCAGCACTACAACCATCTTCATCAGCATAATAACTAGGCCAAGTGCGACCCAGAGATTGACCATTCACCCAGGCATAACCTTTACCCATACCTTGCAAATCCACAGCAACTGGGTCTGATCCTAGAGGAGCTTTGAAAGTGGTCTACAAAATATAAACACATTATTAATTCATTGATTAGTTCAACCAAAGGGAATAACAATTTTATAGTAATACACAATTTTTGAAGAAAAACAATTTACCTTGTACCAAGTGAACATCCTATTTATGGGTATCTGGTCAGATTCCCATTTGGAAGGAGAAGCATAGGGTGAGTTTTCACTGTAGAATTTGTTATCCCAACCATGCAACCCAACCTTGTAGGACCAGGGGTGTGAGGATAAATCTTTAATTATGGTCTCATCACCATTTCTACCAATCACTTCAATGGGCCCAACAAGACCAGTGTGCCATTTATCGTAGTTCTTCCCATAGTTCTATTCAACAAAAGAAACATATAATATGGTACATAATAATAACTGGAACTAAATTGAGTAATGTATATAGACAATTGAATATGTTATGGGCCATAATTAAGTAGTGTGATACCTGAAGTCCAACAGTGACAGTAAGCAGGCTGATAATGTTCTTCCCAGGCTTCAACTTAATTTTAGTCTCATATTTATCATTATGAATGCCATATGTGGCCCAATGGGAACCTGTACTTCAATCAAACAGGGACCATGTTATTAAATTAAATTGTAACGTAACTACTAGTTATAACATAATGCTGTATATTCAACCGTAGGTGATAATTAGTATGTGACATAATATTACCAATATGTTCTCCGTTGATGAATACATGAATTACATGACCACTGCCATTAATCCTAAGAGACATATCATCTGCCCAAACTGGATCATTTTGATCAATATCAAGTCTATCATAAAAAAAACAAATATTGTTAGCAATTTTTTAACAGAACAAAAAAGAGACAAAAGAAGAGAAAAAATTACGTGGTTATGATTGATTACCTTGTCATGTACCAAAGGTAGTCAGTGGCATCATCAGTGACTCTTTTTTGATCAAGAAGTGCATCTACAGTGAAATTACCTTTGCCAAGGAGGGCATTATCAATATTCTCAGCTCTCCACACCCACTTCAAAGCTATTGGCTCATCTTCAGCTTTGTTTTCCGCCTTTACCATAAGGGAGGTTTGAACATTTACCTAATTATGAAAACATAGATGCATCAATTAACAACATATGCAACAATTGGTCATCATGAACAAAATAGCTAGCATATGATTTTGGTTTATACTACTGGAAAATATAAAGGGTTACCTTGGCTGTGTTATACCCTTCAGTTTGACAATCAGGAAGAAGACTAACAGACCAAGCAGGAACATCATATGTATTTCCTCGAAATGTTATTGTGGCACCAGTGGTGGTGTTGGAGTTGCTCAAGAAGCAGCTTGATGAATCATTCGTGGAATACACAGTAGCCTAGAAGTTGAAACTGTGTATGTCATAATAATAAGTGCTTTTGTCTCTAAAAATATCATAGTCATTGAATTTGTGAGTGTTCTTTATTCGTTTACCTTAACAGAGTTGCCAAAATCAGTTTCTGACACGTTTCCGTTGGTAAGACTGTTTTCCATCGATTTCAGAACCATGTGAAGTTCTTTGAGGTGACCCCATTTTGGTTGGGCAATGTTTCCTGCAATTTTGAAAGCGAAAGGTTTTTTTCATGGAAAAATATTGTTCGATAAAAAATAAAAAATAAACATTATAACCTAAAATGAAAATATATAATAAATGCAGTTACCAAATTCATCAAGAGGAGCGTCGTAATCATATGAAGTGGTAATGTATGGACCCCCAGCTGTTCTTCCGAAGTTAGTTCCACCGTGATACTGAAAGCGACAAAAAAAAGTTATACTTGTACAAAATGTTGCTAGAATGTTACTTAAAAGAAGTAAGAATTTGAACTTTTAATTATTTACCATGTAGTAGTTCTGGAATGTGCCTCCGGTTTGGAAAAACTTTGCCACAGCATAAGCAACATCTTCTGCAGTTCTATGGGGATCTTTACCACCCCAATTCTTGAACCTTTAAAAAAGATTAAAAAAATTGATTGCAAAATAACTTTAGTAACGAAAACTCATGAACAAAGTTTTTTTAAGGCAAAAAAATTGACCAAATAAAACAAGAGTTTAAACTGACCAGCCAACCCAATTTTCAGTCCACATTTTAGGACTATTAGGGTTATTGGGTTCAAAGTCCTGACAATACCAACCATTGCAAGTATTGATCTAGCATTTAATTTAAAGAGAAAATTATTAGCTAACTTCAACAATGAATGAAATAAAATAATTTAGATGACTCCAATATAAATTGTAAAATTTACCATAGGCTGAGGAGCATCAGGTTACTGGCACATGATCCATGGAACCCCAATATCGAAAGATTCGGCCATGTTAGCACACCAATCTATATAAACTTTGCCAGCATCCCCATAAGCGGACATCACATTCCCGTATTCGTTTTCGATCTTTTTTCATTAATCATAACAATCAACAATTAATTAGTATATAAAATAATATTATTTTATTGCATAATATCTAATATCGTTAACAATTAAATTTATTAGAAAAAAGCTGTAGTACCTGAGATAAAATTATGGGACCGCCTTGAGATGCAAACAATTTTTCTTTTTTTACCATATCCACAATCAAAGTCGTAAAATTTTGCATTTCATTCTATGAATACAAAATTAATGAAACAAAGTAAGAAATAATAATTTACCACAATATAATCCCAAGAAAATAACAGTAAACTAAAATAATAATAAAAATTTACCATGAACACTTGATTTGCCGTCCGAATCTCGACACCGGGTAGATTATGAACCCATACAGGGATCCCTCTAAATTTTTTTTAATAAAATGAGAATTTTATAATTTTTATGATTAAACATATGTTCTGTACTTAAAATGAAGTCAATTGAATTTGAAGAAGTCTTAGTTAGAGTCAAACTTACCCATAATTCCATTCAGCACAAACATAGGGGCCAATGCGAGGTACAGCATAAAGTCCTTCCTCTTGAATGGTTTTGAGAAATCTAATAAAATCGTTATTGCCAGTGAAATCATATTGACGACGAACAGGTTCATGAGCATTCCAAAAAATATATGTTTCAACAGCATCCAATCCTCCATCTTTTGCTTTCTTAATCAAATCGAGCCACATCTGATGTATATAAAAAATGAGTTAACAAATAACATATAAACAATGCTATTATACAAATATAGATCAGAGATAAATATGAAAAAGACAAAGCAAAAAATGATTAATGAGGAATGGTGTTGGACCTGAGGTGTGCTTCTAGGATAATGAATTGATCCAGATATTAGCACCCTCCTTTTTCCATCAAGTTTGATGGCTCTTCCATCATGAGTGACTTGAACGGCATTGATGCCACAGAGAAGAAAGCTAAGAAAGCAAATGCAGACGAAACTATTCAAAGGAGCCATCTTGTAAACTCAAGATTGTGTTGTTAGTTTTAGAGGACACTAGCTCTCCTTATATAATACAATTTCGGCGCAGTTAATTAAGTTTTATTCTTTCTCATGCGTTTAATGTATTTAAAGAAAAAAAAATAAAAATTAGATTTTGAAAGTGCTGCAATAAGAATTTTGAGAGAATCTATTATATATATATATATATATATATATTAATTAGATTAATAATTTTTAACATGTATTATTAATTTATTTTAGAACTATAATAAACTAGATCGTCTCTTATAATCTACATTATTTTTAATAAAATATTGATATTTAGAAAAAAATTTATTTTAATTTTTTTAACTAAATTATTTTCATATTAAAATAAAAAATAAAATATATACTTGAGAGAGAATTTAGATATTTTTATATTATTCTTAACTTTTTATTATTATCACTTATTATTCCTCTATTTTAATTATTTAACTGTATAATTATTCTCTCTTGATTTGTGCATCTATGCCGGAAAAAAGCTTTGCGGGCATTTCAAAGTTGAATAGAAGTTGTTTTATTTTAAACGTGATTTGATCCCCAATCTTATGGCACCGTAGGCTGTACTGTATATGGAAATTCTCAATGTTACCTTGTTCTTAGAGGTTTGAGTTGACCATTAAGAAAAGTTTATATAAGTTTTACGAATTAGATATATATTATATTAACAAATTTTTCTGCACTGTAGAAATATTTTTAAATTTAAGAAAAATAAAAACTATAAATAAAAATATGATTATTATTAATGATAAAATCATATCTTAAGAATGAATAAAGTATAAAAGGAAGTATAGCCCAAAAAGAGTGTATAAAAGAAAATATTTTTGTCAATAATAAAAATTTTATTTTATTAGAATATAATTAAAGAGATAAGATTAATAAACTGAAGAAGTTATGCAAATACATTACTTTACCCAATATACAGTCTACAGATTGAATACTATTAAGTGAAAATTCTAAAATCTGATAAAATAAAAAACCATAGAAAATATGTAAGACAAATCATGAGACTTAATTTAATTTAAGAGAGGGAGAAAAAATTATTAAACTTTTAATTTCTACCTTCAATAGTCAAATTTAAAATATAATTATCAATTAGTAATATTAGTTTTTTTTTAAGATCAATATTTTATCAAGAATAAAGTTAAAATATATGAAATATTCTAATATGTTACGACTTTAAACAAAATTAACAATATATGTTAATAGAATTTTAATAGTTTGTATTATTGTTAAATATTTATAATTTTCTATTTCACTGAAAATGTTGAAGCATAAATGATTTACTCAAATAGAATGATCAAATAAATAATTATTGTCATAAAATTTTAAATTATTAATTAATTATACAGTGTAAAAATATAATAGAATTTATATAAAATAACTTATTCAATTATTTTTATAATAAATAAAAAACTAAATAACTAATAACAACAAGATAATTAAATTAATTTATTTTTTATAAATATAAAATTTTATTTAAAAAATACTTATAATATTAAATGATGTAATCATTATTTTATAAATATATATTTAACATTACAAAAGTGTATAATTTTTTTTTAACAATCAATATATCTCAATTTTATTTATAATTTTTTATGATATTCTATATTGTTTCTTTTATAAAAATAAAATGAATATTTTATTTTTTTTTGCTAATAAATAGAGCTTAGAGGCCAAACAACAACAAGAACCTAAGTAGTACCTTTAGGATATCAAGAACCTATAGCATTAAGAGATAAAAGAAAAAGTAAATCTAAAAGGGTTGAATCAAAAGAATAAAAAGTCATTCTATCATCAGCCCTACCTAGTCTTCGCTAGCCAATTAGCACAATGATTAGCCTCTCTCAAAACATGGCTAAACCTAATAAAAAGAATACATTTTAACAAATCCTTAATCTCACCAATTATAAGAAGAAAAAATTACAATTAAGATAATTTACAAGCAAAGAAATAGTCTCTTTAGAGTTACATTCAATTCATATCAACTGAATATTTTCCTGCACTATCATCTTGAGCCCTCAATAAAATCCCTAAAGCTCAGCAGTTATAGGAGTACAAGGATCCAGGACCCTACAAAACCTAACTATTAAAAATCTTCCTTTACAATCGCTTTAGATGCGATTGGATAGGAGCCTCCCATTTTATTAGACTCTGGGAATCCATCACACTAGCATCCTGATTAAACCTACCACAAAAAGGAAAACAATTAAACTCATGAAAAATACCCTGTAATACCCTTTTAGCAGTAGAATGCTGATTTTGAAAAATAGCTTGGTTCTTGTTTCTCCACAAATTCCATATTGTTATCCCAAATAACACATCTTTGTGAGGATAATTTTTAAAATTTTGAGTATCCAAATTATATTCGAGCCAACTATGCAAACCTTAACTAAAGAAAGGAATTCAGTTTTCAGGAAGAACAAGAGAATTTTAAATCTTTTGGGCAAACCATCAATCCCTAAGAATATGTATGACATTTTCTGCGTCCTCATTACACCTAAAGCAATTTGAAGAGTTAGCCATTCCTCTTTTGCATCTTTTCACATTAGTTAATAATTTATCATGAGCAACCTTCAAAAAAAAAAAATAGAGATTTTTGGAAGAACTTCTCCATTTTCATATTACTTTAAACACATTATTATTGATCTCTCCACTGTCCTTAATAATTTATCATGAGCAACCTTCAAAAAAAAAAAAATAGAGATTTTTGGAAGAACTTCTCCATTTTCATATTACTTTAAACACATTATTATTGATCTCTCCATTGTCCTTAAGATTTGAAATCAGATTATAAGCTGACTTGCAAATGAACTACAACAGAAAATCAAGTGAGAGTTATTGCAGCTTATCATATAATTTTAAACTCAAAGATCAATGAATGCAATAGATAATTCATGTATGCTAAGATATAGGTAAATATAGTCTATATGGAAATTATCATTGATAAATTTTAAAATTATATCAATAATTTCATTACAAGAAAAATAGTTATTTATAACTTAATTTTTAGTCATAAATAAATAAAATCTAATAATTAAGTGACTAATTCTCTAACTGATATAATTAAATCACTAAATATATAATTATTGATGATCTATAACAAACTTAGCAATTGATAATTTAAAGACCACAATTAGTAAACAAGCATTTATCTAAATTATAGATAACAAAATTCTTCAATTGTTTAACACAATTATATTGACATATTTAATAATTACTCTAACATAATATAATTAAATATGATATATTTATCACATTATTAATAAATAAATTAAATATCTAAAAAATAAAAAATAACAAAAAAATAGAAGATTAAAATTTTAACTATAGCTATAATCATTAAACATATATTTTATCCAATAATCTTACATGTATGAATCCTTTTAATTTATAATTCTATGTTTAATTTGTGATTCAAATTTTAATGGCTTAATTAAATTTTATCTATCTAGTTTCAATCATGTGTAATCATAATTTTTCAAGACTTTTTTCTAATTAAGTATTTTTAATTTTATATTTTAATAAATATAGTGTTTGTTGTCAAATTTTTAATTAAAACTCCTAATTTTTTCTCTAAATTTTTATAATTGAATCAATTAAATTAATTTAAATTAATACTAACAAAACAAACTATTAAATTTAGTCCAAAAAATTATTTTCTTTTCAAACCTTAATTTTATATCTTATTACATTTTTAAATTTTATTAAAATTCTTCCTTCTAAACTTTTAAAATTATTTTATGTTGTACTTTCATAATAAAAGTTCTAAAGTCTTATATAAAAAATAATTCACAGTTTTTAGTAGAAAAACTTAATAAAATAAATAAATTTAAAGATTTCAAAAACAAAAATAATTCACTTAACTTAAGAAAAAAAAAGGTCTCACTACTTTGACACCTGTGGAGAGACCTGCAATCCTGTGTATTTGATCGGAGGAGGAAGAGGCCAAAGGGAAACTGGTTTTGAGATTATATTTCCTTTAAGAGTGATTTCCATATCCCATGTCTGTGGTGTTATTCCATCATCAAACTGATCATATTAGTCATTAAAAACACTAATCCTATTTCATTCCAATGCTAATCAACATTTACATAAGTATTAAAGTGTCCTTTGCAAATATCTTCTTCATTCTACGTCTTGCATACACTAACGTTGTTGTAACTTATTTTTCAGTTCATATTAAGCACATCTTCCTTTACCCTATCAAACTTATATAAAATCAAAATCTAAATTTACATTATAAGAAAATAAAATAGGATAAAATCATTATTTTTATCATATCTTATTTTTTAATATTTATTTAACTAGTATAATATAAGAAGTCTATCCTATAATTTTATTCTCCTTTACTCTCTAGTGTAAGTTTTATCTTGTGAGAGCTTTAAGTTAAAAATAAATGAAATGAAATATTATCCTATTTTTATCTTTCATATTTTTATTCAAATTAAATTTTATATTTTTCTTTTCTGTTCATCAAACAAGCATTTATCATTACACACGAAGAATTTTAACAATATTTTTTTATATTTATATATTTTATTGTGAACCTATATTTATATTTAAACGGTACGAAAACCCATAAATATGAAGAAAAAGGGAAAAAAAAAGTTCATATATCAAGCCATCCTTGTTAGCAAGAAAAAAAAATAGCTTAAGTCCCACTTTATGAGTAAAAAAATCATATAATATGATATGGTAACTTGATAAGACAATTAAATTAATAACTCTTGCCTTCTGTTTGGAAGAATCAAAGGAAAGCGATGGAAGAAAAATAAAAATAAATGAAAAGGTTACAATTTATTTTGATAAATTATTTTTCTTTCACTCTTTTAATTAAAAAAATAAATATTTGAATTTTTTTTATTCAACACAACATTAATGATTAAAAAATAAGTGAACAAAAGACACACCTGGCTACAGCTAGTTTTTCTGAGTCTTTTTCTTGAATTAAAAGAAAAAGAGAAAAAAGA